TATTAGCATTTTAGATACCTCGAGAGAATCTCAACCATTTAGTCAATATTTCTTCTCTGACAGACTCGTATATCCGTGCAAATCTAGATGATCTATCTAATTTCTTTGGCAAAATATCGATAAAGGAATAGTCACATTTCACTGTAGAAATTTAAACAAAAAATACATAAAACGAAATGTGGAACTATAATAAAATAACTTTGCTGAACTTTACTTTCATTCACAAATGAATTCACCATTTGAGGTAGATTATCAAGGACACTGAAGGCACTAGTACTTGAAAATCAGATTAGATTATAACCTTTTGCTTGAAAATACACAGATTCCAAGCATCAAATCCGAAAAAAAAAGAGCTGCAGTTCTTACAAAAATGTAGAACTGAGGAATGACAAATTACTGAAGCAGAACTCTAACCTGCTGATTAACAGGCTCTGTACCACTTACACGCGCCATTTCGGCACGCTTATTCTTTTACGAATCTGCTGATTTCGGTCCCCTGTAACTGCATTTGCATTTCTGCGAGATACTTTTGAAGCGCCCTGTATATATAACTTCCCTTTGAATTCTAAGGTTAGTTATTTTTGCAAAACTTATCCTAATTATTGCGGGTTAAGAAAATCACTTCATTTGCTGTTGAGAATAGAATGTAAATAAAGAAAGTAGAGAAACAGATGGACGTAAAGTTTGTTAATGTGATCGATCTTTTTTAATAAAAAAGTGCGTTTCAAGTTATTTATCAAATTAGCAAAATTTAATACATTTAAATCCCTGGAGTACACGGTAACGGGGGGTTGGTGTGGAGGTAAAGTAACGGGCGGTATATGAATAAAAAAACATAAAATCGTATTAATAATACAACTATGCTTTAGAAAACCATATCTGGTAGACACTATTAAATAAACCCTGTTTCAGGATTGACCCACTAGGCCCCCTTTAACTGATTACAAATCACGCACAAAGTTCTGTTCAAGATCAAATAGAACATTCCTGTAACAGAAAATAAGAATTCTTCGATAGAAATCGAGAGCGAAAAATCACTTTAAATCAAATATGATGTGCGAACGTTAATCGCTGATTAACTGGTTAATTTGCTATAGCAAACCATACACGAGGATTATCCGTCTTTAGGATGAACACTTTATGAAGGACTTTCTTAGAAAATTGACTCGTATTTATTTTAAACGTAAAAATGGGCAATCCATACATCCTGCTTGTATGCAGATAACCAAACCTTTCTTTTTATCTAACGGCTGGACACTTGCTAGTTAAGCATTCGTCTGGAATGAACGAACCAACGAACCTAACGGTCATTTAGCATTTTGTTACCGAGAACGCTGCTCAAGGCGTACCGACGGAGATCCCCGATAGGACACCCTCAAGAAAGAGGGGTACTTAATTACATGGATGGGAATTCTCACAATACTTGTCACAGGAACATGAAGTAATTTTGTCTTCTTTCATAAAAGTTCGTAGTCTATCATTTATGCTGGGAACTCTGACTGGCGTATTCTCTCTCTCTCTTTCTCTCCCTCTCTCTCTCTTTTTTTTTTTTTTTTTTTTGTCAGCTAAGGCAACCGCAATTAAAATATCTTTTGAATGATTATTTATTTTAGGGAATCGCAGCTTTTCGAGAGGTTTTGCTGTGCAGCTAATGATGTATTATATTCTGATATTGTCACCAATTATCCTATGGATTCATCCACTCAAAATATCTGTTGCATCAGGCTAAAATGCTATCTTTAGCATTTTAGCCTGGGAACAACGATATGCCAACTGATTGCGCTAATCACCATATCGATTAGGGCCGTCGAGAAAACGGAACATGAGAGAAACTGTTAGCGTTAACCGATCATTTTTACTATACCATGGGCGAGCACAGGAGTAACAGGAAAGATCAGAACCCTAAAAACTTACTGTTTACTTCCTTTTATTTCTTAAAACATGAATATTGCTACGATGCTTACTTATTTATTTGAATATGGTAAAACACATGAAGGCTATCTACCCCCCCCCGAAAAAAAGGGAAGTGTTCTATTCGCATTTACCTTATGGCATTTACGATATTCGAATCTGTGTCGAACAACCATTGTTCAGCTATCTTAACTACCTGGCCGCTAGTGATCAGGTCTTAGGTTGCTTACCATATCGAGGAAAAAGAGTAACTTATCATAAGAGACTTCGAAGAAAAAGGGACCAATCGAAAAGATATCGAAGAAAAAGAGTAACTTTTCTTTCAACAGGAAGGACTTGAAAATTGTGAAGCTGTAAATTCACTGCGATTACAGAATTTAAACCAACGATAGAAATAGAAGAGGATATTTTTAAGAAACTCGTATGGTTTCAGTATTAAAAATATGCACACTTTAACTTGCACGGTGTAAATCAAGAAAAGTTAAATTTGAGATACTTAAGGCAGCAAAATATTACAAACGTATATCATAAAAGCGAAACCATGGCTCATATTAGAAGATGAGAGGACAATAAATAAAGAAAGCATTTTGAATTAGAAAAATAAGGGATTCATAGTACATGTTCTGTTTCCGAAGAAAATCTTATTTACACGAGACGAACTTGGAACTGGACTAACGTGTAAATGCCGGGATGAAGGTATAACAAAGCATTAGTAGCGAATGCCATGCATAACTCTAAAGGCTACAAGCAGCAAGGGAAACGGAATGTTATAAATCAAGAGGTGATGTTACTTCTTTTTTTTTAACTTCATAGCATTAAAATATCAATTTGACTGAATATTTTAGTTAAATATTTATTTTATTGAATTCTTTCCATATATACATACGTAATTTTTTTAAGGTGTTTCGATTCACGTTTACCGTTTTATATTTTATGAATTTCATTCTGCAGTAGTTTTTCTCTGTTAATTTTGTTATCATAAAAACTTAAAGTAATTTTTAATGCATTTCCTATTCCCAGCTTCTAATCGATGAAAAATTAATGCCATTGCATTCAGAAGATTGTAAAAAGTGGTTATAACTCAGTAGTTTGCTATTCAACTGATATCAAACTTTTCAGAAACTTCGGGAGAAAAACTACAGAATTGCAGTTACTCCGAGTACCGAATCAGCTACAAGCTTAGATCACTTAAAGGATAACTAACGAGAGTATAGATCACTTTAATAGAACGAACCCGAATTTAGAAGAGTCATTAAGAATATTTTAAAATTTACCCGTTATACATGATGGAGTTAAAAAAAACTTCAGCAAATTTAATGTAATGGAAAATTACGTAATACCTGCCTTTGAGTAAGAAAAAAATGTCAAAGTCAGGCATTCTTTCTAGAGAACATGTATAAAGTAACCGAGGAGTAACTTAAGAAAAAAAAAAAAAAAAAGGAAATCTGAAATGTTTCAGATTTTAAATTACGTCCAAAGGAGCATTTTTTTTTTTTTAACATTTTGTGTGTTACCTTTATTTATTAAATATCATGTTCTTAAAACAAAAAATTCAGTTCAAGAGCAATATCGCAAAATAGTTTTAAATTGAGCATATCTTTAGAATTTTCGATACACAGTCTCCCGCGCTGGAGATAAAAAGTGTTTTTTCTGTACAACGTTGCCATTGCTCACTTTGAAATCCTTGAGTTTGTTAATCAAAAATTCGTTTAAGTTTTACAAAATATGAAATCGATAATAAAACAAGTTCCAAATTTCAAATTTGGTCTTCCAGTGCCCATATTCGCAATAGGATTACGTTATTGAAAATTTGATGGCTCTAGGTACTGTTTTTTTTTATTACAATGCGAGAATTATTACTACAGTTTTAAAGCTATTTTTTTTTTAGCTTAATTATCCAAACCGTTTTTCAACTTCGATTTATAATTTTTCATTGTATGTTATATTTCTCTGTATTTAAGAGCTACGATTAAAATTTACAGTGAGAGTTACTATATTGTAACTATACTGTTACTATATTGTAATGTACAGGTACAGTTAACTAGTATTCATATATAAGGGCACAAATTTAATCTCTTACCTCAGATAAAGAAAAAGGCTCGGCTCTGGTTGGAAAAGTTCGAAAAATAATATTAAAACCAGAGCTTAAATTGCGCCGGAGCCCACCGGGGCCCGGCTCCGGTACTTTTTAGTTTTTGGGATATATTTTAATTCTAGTCGGAGCGCACCGGAGCCCTGAATAAGAAGGCTCCAGCACTTTTTTATGTAACGGAACAATAATTTTAGTAGAAATTTGATCTAGAAAATTTCATTTTTAGCAATAAAATTATATAAAAAATCACTTATTAAATTTGATTTATCTCTTACATTTTATTTAATTTTAATTATTTAATTATTTAATCTTTAATTATTTTAATAAATTGTGAATAATTAAACAATAATTACAAGTGAATAATAATAATATTATAATTATTATTCAACTTGTAATTAATATTTATTAATTATAATAGCATTAAATAATCATTATTTAATTTGATACTCCTTAACTATTAATTTTTAAATTATTAATGATTTTAATAATCATTTTGTTTATTGATTTACTCTTGTTCCTCTTTCGTGATGGTCCTTCATAGGGGTCCGGCACTTCTACTTTTAGAAATTAAGCCTTGATTAAAACTACATTTGTTAAGATATTCGGAATTTCAACGCACATCTGAACCTACTTATTGCTTCGCAAAAAAAGTGAATATTAAGCATACGTATAAACTTAAATACGTAAAAGTAATGAATACAAAAATAAACAACTTATAAGCTTTCCAGCGCATGAAACGTAATATCGATCGTAGCCGAAAGAACCTAAATCAATATCTTCTTCTAATGTCTTACAACAAATACCTGTATCATTAAAACCTTGCTTAAGGAAGCATAATGCATTTTAATCTTCTTTCCCCTCTCTTTTGTATTTCAAATTTGGCAGAGATCGAAAGACAGCGGCGTCATTAGTGATGTCACTTCCGTCTAGGACCTGCCTTTCGTCGCCCTTCATTGGCCGATTCCGTAGTAAACAGTCTGCGAACGTGGATGTTGGGATGCGCGAATTCTGATGTGATATAAAGACGCGGTTAAAGAGACCTTCGGCTCAGAGTACCTCGTGGCTTGGCTTGCGTATCATTCCATTGTTCGTTAAGGTGCTCGGGTTTCATCATGGGACCGCATGCAAACAATTCGCCGGAGATTCGTTCATTCACGTCCACGATAGTAAACAGTAAGGGAAAACGTTTATTTTGCAAGTACTGGGAAGCTGTGGACAAACCAAGGTGAGTTTAATCTAATTACGTTGTATCGTTAGGTTTTTCTCTTTACGTTTTCAAAGTTTTTGCATGCGTGTATTCATATTTTTATGCTTGATATGACCTAGGGATCTTTCATATCTAAGACAGCTGTCAAATCATTCTCCGAGAACATCCTCTAAATGATGAATTTAAATTGCTATGCAAAATTATATATTACAACGTAACATATTATTTCATAACCATGCTATAAAATCATAAAATACTTTATATCAAACAAACTACCTTAAGTAAAAATTAAAACATTTTTCGAACCTTTGTATTAAACTGAAATACTTACCACCACGGGACTTCTTTTTCTTGTGATGGAATTATTTGGTAAAGATATCCAATTAATAGTATTACTTCCTGATTTCTTTAATATACTTGTACGAAACACCATTGATAACTGATTATAGAGATATGCAAATTGAGAGTTACGTAAATCGTCGGGTATTCGACAGTTCTTGTTTGTGAAATATGTTTTGATTTCTAAAATTGCTGTCATTTATTCACTAATTACAATCTAATCTGAACTAGCTGACTTAATCATTAATTTTTTGCATCGTATTTTATAATTTATCACCTATCAAAATGTATTATTTTGGGATACTGCTAAATGCTTTCATATATTCAACTAATTTTATTTCTCCTGCACGTGCATATTACTATTTAAATAGAAAAATGAAATTCATTTTATTTCTGCATAGTGAGTGGATCTGCGTTTTTCTCTTAGTTTTTCATTCAGTGGGCTCATAATTTCTAACGATCACGTGAAGTTTATCTGCAGATAATCAATAATTTTGAAAGTATTGTAGTAGACGGAGGAGTGTAGTTATCAGTTTTTCACTTTAGTAATAATTTTGTGCACCCATCTGTAAATACGTATTTTGAAAAATTCATAAGAAATTAACGGATTCACATATATTATTGTTATTATTATTAATAACCATACCTTTCATTTAAATAGTTATAACATACAGCGAAACCTCTCATAGCGACCACCTCTGAAACTAAGAAGAATTTCTTAAAATGCAAATGAACGCTATTGATCATCATCCCCTTTCTTAAACAACTATTTTCGAAGAAAACTAAAATCACCTGAAACGGAAGATGGTTGTCTTAGGGATGATAAATGCACCCTCTTCAATAACCAAAGCATGAAAATATATACAAATTGTATGCATTTGAAATGGTTACAAAATTTATAAGAAAATTCCTTTTCCTCACTGCACATCTGCGTGCTGTAAGTGGTAGCACGTTCGGCTAGTAGTCGGAAGCTTCAGAGTTCGAATCCCGGTGAAGGCATAGCTGATTTTTCATGTTTCCCGCTTTGAAAATGCCTAACAGACGCCACAAACTGAAGTTTGTAATTCACACATCTAATCATAAAGCAGTTTCCCTTACAGGGGCTACTAGGAGAGGAGAGGGTAGCCAGAAAAATCAGCTGGGCTCTTGCCGGGATTCGAACCACAGATCTTCAGACGGCTAGCTGGTTGTACTAACTACCTCCGCGAGCCTGCATTGGAGAATGCGATGATTTTTATAAGCTCTGTCGCAGTTATCTTAATGCAAAGATTTCGAGAACACAATTTTTTAAATGCTTTTGACTGGAATTTATATTTTATTTTTGCTCGAAGAAACAGATGAAAGATTTGTTTAAATACGACTTATGGAAAAAAAGTTTTATTCTGAGGTTAAATATTTGTCTGAAATTCGTTTCTTGATGAATTTGCACTTTTTGGTGATAAATTTTATTATTAAATAAAGTGGAGGCTTTCCTGCACAGTAACGTATGCATGAAAAGCAAGAAAATCGAATCTTTCATCCATCATCATTAGAAGCATATGATGTTAAAGTTACGCATGAGAAAGGTATTGATGAATCACCAAAAAACTGACTAATGAACTTGGGAATATCAGTACTTTAGACTAGAAGTCATTTATACTTGGAATATCAGTACTTGGAACTTGGGAATATCAGTACTTTAGACTAGAATTTCAGTACTTTAAATTAGAAAAAAACTGTCATGGACGTATTTCCTTTTCACCACGCAAACTACGAAATCCTCAGCGCAACCAATCTACTGTACCTGGAATCGATCCCGGAAGGAAATAGCTAGTGTTCAACGATTTTTTTTTCGTCAGTCCGCGCACTAGTTGGCAAGCATTCCGTTCTACGTACGAGAATAAATGAGTTGACTAAGTAAACGTAAAATGGTTATGTTCTGGGATCTCATGTAATGTATTTTCGTTTAGCTTCTAATTTCTCAGCATTTTGCATCTCGTGGCTTTAATGTGCACCCTTATAACCTGAATAGGAAGTATTTTCAAGCGGAACTGAGACTTTGTTTAAAAATATCATATATATTTAATATACATCCGATTCATATTTGTAGTGTAAAAATTAACTGCTAAATTATACCTGGAGAGGCATATAATTCTATTAAAATATGTTTCCAGGCTACAGAAATGCTACATTAATATGATTTGGTAACTTTTCAGTCTTGAAATTTTGTACATAATGTTTTATAGTTGTTGGAAAACAATTTTTAACGCCTAAAAATGTTAGATGTTCTTAATCATAGCATGCGCATTTCAGTTGAATTTCAGTTAAAATCTTCACAATATTCAGTATCAGTGCTGCACTTGTGTTAGTAATAAATACGCTAATCTCAGAATTTTAGTTAGTACTCAAAACTATGAAATTACGAAATTTCCTTGAAAATATAAGCACCATTCTAGAACACTTTGGAAGCATTCACAGTATGCTCTTTTTAAAATATATGTATTTGCGTAGTACTTATTATTTATCTATTCATAATTTGAATTTTTTTAAACCCCTGTCGCCCTATTTCTTGGTATCTCAAGTGAACGAGCTGGCTGCATGGTTGGTTTTCTCCATGTGTAGCGTAAATAAGAGTCAGTGTTCATTAGAAAGTCCTCCATGAAGGTACCACTCCTCTTAAGGAAGATTGCCTTGCCTTATTAGAATTCTTGCCAGCTTTGCCTTATTAGAATAACCCAAAACTTGGAATAGCATTTTAAGCCGCAGCTTTATTACCCAAATAGCACAGCAACGTCGTAATGACGTTGCAAACTCGTCGCGGATGTCATTGCAAAAACGTTGCAATATGTTCTCTTTAAGACGTCCAGATGCCCGCTAAACTTCACTATTTTGCAACCGTTGCAAAGGCGTCTTTGTTATGTCTTTGCAGATGAGGTTTTTGTCGCATAGACTTCGTTATTGCGTCTTTCGCATGTGATGTTTTAGTTGTGAAAGCATCGTATCAAGACGCCTAAATGTTCGTAAAATTCCACCTTTTTGAAACAGTTGTGAAAATGTCGTTATTATGTCCTTGTGTTACATATTGATTTATGCAGAAAAATAAGCTTAATAATTAATATATTTTTTCTTCTTTTTTAAAATTTTGTATTCCTTGTATTTATCTAAAGTTTAAATATTTTATCATTTCCTGAAAACCAGAAGATAATACAATTTTTTCTCTTTAGACTAAATATGCGTAATTAATAACAGCCTTAATCATTTTCAGTACTTTAAAGTTTTTAAATTTCTCTTTAGACTAAATATGTGCATAATTAATAATAGCTTTAATTATTTTCAGTGCTTTAAACTATAATTTTTAAATAACTTAAATTCTAAATTACGATTATTTAAGATTTCATCATTTTTTCCATTTAAGTGAGAGAAGTGAGAGGAGTAATTATGAAAGTGTTTATTATAAATATATAACATTAATAGTAGGTTTTAAGTAAATAAAACTCAATTAGACATAAATAAAAGTAAAGATAAGACATTGAAAATTGCCCCTGTCGTGATAAATTAGGAAGCGGTTCTTAAGGTAACATAATGAGTATTTTACCTGAACTCAAGTATAAATTTATTCGCGTTTCACAGTAAAAAATATAACCATTAACTTCTATATCTCCAAGATATGCAAATGAAAGACAGTATAAAGTAGTTAATAAATGTGATCAAAAATATACCTAAATCTAATAACTTCCCATATTCATATCTAAAATGAAATAATAACCTAACAAACAACATACATGACAGCACTATTTAAGAAAAAACATGAACTAGTAGTGTTTGAAAGTATAAATAGCAGAAGGAAGATAACAGAACTAAAATTTCCAATTAATAAAAAAATATTTGTGTTTTTTAAATAGTAAGTAATTAAAAGTGCAATAATTACGGATTGTAGTATTTACTAGTAATGATGATATTTCTTAACACCATTTCTTTCGATCATATCTTAATGTATTTACTTATTTTTAGTTTCTTTACGTTTTAGAATAGTGGTAGATTACTATGATTACTTCATGCACTTTTTATAATCAATTACTTTCCTTTTTGTTACTATACAGAAATAATTGAAATAATATAGTATACGATAGTAAGCTAAGTACGTTAAAGTAAGCTCTTTGTTAAATAGCACACGATGAAACTTTTTGTTTCTATTTATTATGAATTTCTTTGTTATCACAACCACATAAAAAGTAAGCGAAGAAAATAGAATATACTTAAATTGAATAAAAAATAAAACCTAATTTCAAATATTTTCATTTATTGAGATAATCTAATAAGCATACATAACGGCAATAGAATATACTTAAATTTAATAAAAAATTAAAACCTGATTTCTAGCATTCATTTATTGAGATAATCTAATAAACATACATAACGGCAATATTTAAAAAAACGCCAATTACACAGTGTTTGGAAGAATATACCAAACGAAAAGTAATAAAACTGCAATTTGCAATCAATAAAAAATATTTAGTGTTTTTACACAATTAAATATCACATAATTATAGATTACAATATTTCATAGAAATGCTAATGTTTCCTTAACACTAGTTTTTCGATCATACATTTCATACACTGTTTAAAATCATTAACCTTTTCTGCATACTGTACAAAAGGCAATATACTATAGAATGTACATTATTATTAATTTTAATAAT